AGGCAAGTTAAACTATTCTAGTCTCATTGACTTTCAAATCATTATTCCCTCTGTTTCTAAATAGTAAGCTACATTTTTTATTCTTAATCATCCCATATTAATAACCCACTTTCTAAAATCAGTAAGTTTACTTAATACTTGTTTATTATAATCGTACCTTTTAACTACCTACTGGTGGCACAATGGAGAAGTAAAATTTTACATAATAAAGGATAGTTAAAATATTCTACTCAATTCCTAAGAATCGACCCTTAATCACATATATAGGTCCTGAGTTGAAGAAGAAATCTCACTTATTTATGATTCATTTTCAAACTCAATAATTAGAGGGGAACAACAAAGCATGCAGCATTGACATTCACACATTTCTTGAAACTAGCTGACCAAGGAAGACATTGGTCTCTTCTGTCTAGGCAATGAGCTTGATTTGATTTCGACTACTAAAAGATGTAGTCAAAATCATCGTATTTCAGCTAACAGTATTTGATTGAAATATTGGATTCACTTATAGTCAAAATTTGCTTATGCAGTACAATGTATGTCAACTATTGACTACAGTAACCTATCTCAAAGGCAATCATATACTTTATAAGTTTAAACTTTGAACTGCTTGTTTAATCAATTAGGACCTAGAAAATTAGGGGAAGAAGAAGACAAGACTCCCTAGGAAATGACAAGTATATACTAGGTACATGAAGAAGTACAGAGTCATTTTCACAATTATGTATCTTCAGAGTCGTTTTCACAACTATATATTCTCTGCAAGCACTGCACAATGACAAGAAGTAGATAAAGACCAAACCATGTTGCTATATTTCCAGACGAAATACTTTTCTTTTGTAAAAAAACTATCTAAAGAAGAAATTTTTGTATGCAGGACCCTAAACATGGACACTGGTGGCTTGAACTTGGATCAGGGCAACTAGTCGGGTATTGGCCGGCATTCTTGTTTAGCCACTTAAGGATGCATGCCAACATGATTCAGTTTGGAGGAGAAATTGTTAATAGCAGATCCTCAGGTTTCCATACATCCACTCAAATGGGTAGTGGCCATTTTGCAGATGAAGGGTTCACAAAAGCAGCATATTTTCGTAATTTACAACTAGTTGATTGGGATAATAACTTGATCCCTTTGTCAAATCTTCGACTCCTGGCTGATCATCCTAATTGCTACAATATAAGACAAGGAAGAAATAATGTATGGGGTGATTACTTCTATTATGGAGGACCTGGCAGAAATGTAAGGTGCCCTTAAAAAAAATAGAGAACTGTGATATTGATTGTTTTTTTTTTTTTTTCATGCCTTCACTCCAGTTAGGTTATAAGTATTGATATCTTAGTAGATTATTACTTCTCCAACAATGAATTATTCAATGAAACCACTGTATATCTAAAAAAAATACAAGTTGTTTATAGATAATATAGTCCATTGTGTTGTGTTCCAATGTTGTCCCTCCTATTGTTTTGAAACAATTCTTAACTATAATCAACAAAATTTGCTAATTCTTAGGAGATAGGTAGAGTAAGACAGGGATCAATTCAAGAAGAAAGTACACGAGGATATCGATGATCTATCAAGAATAAAATAAGGCACAACTGTCAATAGACAAATCTCAAATGAATAAAGAAATGAACACAAGGTACATATGTCAAATACCTGTTAATAATTAATCACATAATAAGTGCTATAATTGGTTTATTGATAATTTGTATTACATATATATTTGTACAAATTACTAAGATTGCGTAGAGTCCAGTAATCCCTCTCTACTGTATGGTTTCATTTCCATATTCTTATAAAGTATATTTTGTTTGAAATTTATTGTCAGTTTATCACATTATCTCAACCCTTTATAATTAAGGATTCACCATGATTTCATTGAATCATTCTATAATTAAGTAATCTTATGCCTATCCTCACTCCACCACTCTATGAAGTAAGAATATGTTCGAAAATCTAACTATAATCTATATATCTTTTAATAAAAGTGACACCTTTTCCCTAGCATCCTATCTAGTATACGTGCCTGTCATTTTCCGATGAAGGAAGAAATACTATCTAGGTAAGATATGACAAAGCATTACAAACGGTAGAAAAACAACAAAATATATCAAAAAGAAAAGAGTAGTCCGCATTTCTTCCAAATGACAGATCAAGGAGAAAGCCATCATAAAGTACCAAGCTATGCTGCTTTGAAGGTTTTGTGCAGCAAACCCAACAAAATGTTGCAAGGCTTAATAATCCTTGTCGATCTTCAAGATCTCAAAAAAGTTATATAAGTGCATTTGCATTACCAACTTGCAAGTATATTGAATTTTAGTGTGAGACCAGATGCATGTACAATCAAACTACAAACAAAATCAGATTTACACCTATGTTACTGACTCCTCATTTTACCCCAAGTATCCATATTGGAAACTCAACACTTGATGTAGGTATGAAACACTTCATTTTAGACCAAAATTATGCCAAGTTATTATCATAAAAGGGCTGTATTTGACACTTATCCATGTTAAAGTGTTGGACACTTATATTAGAATCCAAGCAACACAGGATTTACCAAAGTCCACAGAGTTGAGGAAATCCATGATGCTTTGAAGTCCACGAGTGAAAGGGAAAACCAAGCTATTCGAAAGTTCTACATAAGATGATAAGAAGTTCACACAATACAAGGGCATGCATGTGGATCTATGACTTTTAACAAGTTTAAATCCAACAGCAGAGCATCTAATCTTAATAAAATACAGCTTCCAAGAATCTAAATATGAGCTACAATTAAGAAATCACTCGAATGTGAGGAAATAGATGATCTAGGTAGTCAGCTTAGCAAGGAGTTGACCATACAAAAAAAATTGTGGTAAAACAGTTTGTCCCTTCTATCCTTTTTTATATTATTTATAAGAAATAAGTATTTTAGGGAGATTTTCAAATGTTAGGAGGCAAGAAGATTAACTAAGGGACTAAAATATGAAAGCCATGCAAGAAGATACTGTTTTACCTAGGTCCATGAAATAGGGAAAACTTGAAACATAGGAAAGTGTAAGAAACTGACCTATAATCACCATAACACAAGGGTTAGCAATCTTAGCATGTGCTCACTGCAGAAGAAGAAGAAATTAGAACATCACGTCTAACTCAGCTATGACCAAAAAAATATTCATCAAAATATAGAACGAGTAATTTGCACATAACTTCAATAAATAAAGAAATGGACAGAAACCAAGAATGTCACATATCCATTAACACCTAATCAAATATATATGGCATTCATTACAAAATCATTAGTCAACTAAACAAAGATTAATGTCACATGAATAGATACATCACTGAGGTATAAATTCAATATAGCAAAATGCAATTATGTAATTTCTTCTCTGCTCTACCTTCTGATAAGCAGGGTTTAGTGGGCTCGCAACCGAATACCCGGCTTCAGATTAAAGAAATCTCTCATAGCTTTCAATTGCAATTAGTCTAGTTATCTCTTTTAATTAGTTTAGTTTAGTTTAGTTTAAATCTCTATCACAAAATCATAGGTCACATTTATTATGGAGGTCAAACCTCGTAACTTTGACCATTATTTATTAAAAACTATCTATTGAAATATAATCTAAAAAGTCATTTCTAAATAAAAGATTTAAAAAGCTTGCATATATATCCATAGAATGCAATTTTTAGGTACAATAAATTATAATGATATTGTAATTAAAAGTTGTCAAGAATGAGAAGTTGAGAGCTGGTATATGCACCAATTACCAAACAATTTCAGTTTTTAAAAACTTTTAAGTAAATTACACCATGGGCTTGCATGTGTAAGTTTCAAGAACATAATTCAATCTAAAATAGACAAAATATAGAAAATACATCTTTCAAGAATCTAAATTGTTTCTGCCCAAGATCGTCTGAGTAAACTATTGCAATGTGACAAAAGAGATGAACAAGTGTACTCCAATAAAGCCTTGAGCGTCAAATATTGTGCTCAAATAACTATAACGATACAAACATAATTCGATCATACTCTTAGACAGGCTAGATGGAAGAAGGATAATAATAAGTAGGCAATTTCAAAGCTCGCCAGTTGCTGACATTATGACTACAATCTACTATCTGAATTTTGAACCTCTCCAAACCTTTTATTGCTTCCACTAGAATTCACAAACTAAACCAACAGCAAGATCCTATGTCACTAGAGTGTTTATATCGATAAAAGCTAACATACACGAGTAAATCTTGAGTGAGACTATTTCACACTATCTATAAAAGACATTATAAGTAGCCTCAAAATAGTGAAAATAATTCTCATTAAACAGAAAAAGTAATCACATACGAGATCCTCTGCTAAGAGACTGCCAAAATAACATGACATAGACAATTAAGAATTTAAGATGGACTAACAGAAGAAACACCTTGAAAAGTGGATCCACATCTCTATCTGAAATTTAATTCCACATCTCAGTCATACAAGTATACAACTATACAAGACTAAGGATGCAAAATTCCAGCATAAGTCTAAAACTAGGCACCACCGCACTATAGACTAGTAGCTCCTACATATGGAGCCAGAATTCCTCCTCTACATTCAATTTTTGATTTTTCTTTTTTTCCCTGTTTTTGAGCTAAAATATCGTTATTCATAATTTGGGGTACTCAAATAGACTGCTCCATTCTTATCATCAATCAGCAGACAGTATCTTATAACAGGCAATTCAGATTCGAACAACATCAAATTGTAATTAATTGAGCAATATGCTTACAATATTTATAATACGGAGTATAAAATATCCTTAGCAAAATTACTAATTCAGAAGATAAAGATATAATATGAAAAAGAAAAAACGCCATATAAGATACAATTTTAAAGAAGAAAAACCGATGACAGTTTTGTTACACTAAAAATTCAGAGAAGCCAAAATGACAATCGTGTATCATACATTGTAAAAGGTGTAAAATACTAGGTGAATTCGTTAATTGTCACAAAAAAAATATAAAAAAAGGCAGCATATGAAAAGAATAGGTAAGCTTGTAGTAATAGGAAATTCCAGTATACAACAAACAGTGGACAAAAGGGTGACAGACTCGTTGTTTCTCAAGAGCGTCAAGCCCTAACAATGAGAGCAATATGTACAAAACGAGAAAATCAAATCCTTGTCCCTGAATCTAGACACCTAAAAGCATTGAAGAACAGTACATCAAGCTAGTAACAACTATCAAGTCATTTCATCAGCTAAAGGCACATACCTTGCATTCTAACTAGAGGATTTTTTTACCAACGGAAGACAAGATGTACATATAGGAGACCGTTAGCAAGCCTAGAAGTTATCTTCATTGGAAATATTGCTGTTATTAATTTCCATTGCAACATCACCTCAAGCTGAATGTTGTAAAAATTTCTATGAAGATGCCAATATTTCTTCTCTGAGCTTATCAACCCGTAATTTATCCGAAAGAAGTTTATAATCTTTTAGATTGCAGTCAATTAAGCTGATGAGGCTTCTTGAATTTGAAACAACCGACCCAGCTGCAATGATGAAATCGTGATGTTTGATCTCATTCTGTAGGGCATCTTCACCTTCATATTTATGATTGCATTGACCATGAAGTTTTTCAAATGTTCTGTTCAGAGCAAAGTACATTTGTACAAAAGAAGGGTCTCTCCAGATCTTCTGGATATCCAACAGGGCTGGCCTGTCTTCTGGTAAACATAAGGATTCCATTCTTAGAGCAAGTCTCCTGATAGACATCAGATTTGATATAGTATGCTCAGCCCACGAACATAACGCCGCATAATCAGTTTTGCAACCTTCAGCATGATTACAAAGATGGAGCAAGTTGGCAATAGACATGCGTACAATGAAGGTGAAGAAATCAATGAAGTTCATGCCTGTATGAAGAAAAAATAGATGAGATAGGGGTATAAAGATCCAATATCGTGAAACAGAATTAGTACATGGGCACCCTTTAGATTTTTCTTAAACTAGCTAGATATTTTACATTAGTAGCATAAAACAAACAAAAGATCTCTAAAAATAGCCCATAGTTGTCTTCTGGTAACACCACATTATAACAAGCACTGTCATATCCGTCTATCAGACCAACTTCAAATTCTTCAAATAATTGGGCTTGCCTTGCACTATGCAGTTTAAATATGATGCTATAATTAATAATTGTCATAGATTTATAGCTTCCTGAATTGCCTACCTGTATTAGCAGCAAGATTACGCTGGCAGAGGCTCTCAAAATCATCACATATGTCCCTTACATCCTCTATTAGCTCCTTAGCCTCATTGTAGTCCCCTTCAAGCAAATCCCACTGTACAAAACGACCACAAAAACAATTGCATGGCATTCTCAATTCCCATGAATTATCAACTGAAAGGTATCATCTATTAACTTACCACCCAGTCAAGATTATAACCATTGAACCAATTGTGATTGATAGATATTGTATCTTCCTGAAAAAAAAATTTAAAAGTATAAATTGCCATCCTCAAATGCAATATAGATAAGAGGATTGGAAATCCAGAAGGGAACTAAGTTTTTTTTTATCAAGACTCAAAATTTTAGATTAATCACTATTAGATCATGTCTACACCCATCAGTTGCAATTATAAATGTGTTCACCAGCTCCAAGAGCTATAAACCAGAAATAATTATCTTAAATGACATTATTCAATAGCAATAGCAACAATTAATACGGGCAAATACATCAAAGGAGCAAAACAAATGGAAAAGTCAACAAATTGTACAAAGCACACCAATTTTTTCATACCAGATTATGCACTTGATGGTACCATCCACTGGGAACAAATATAATTTCATTCTTTAATTGGGTACATTCAAACCAGACAGCCTGTGATGAAAATTCAAAGAGTAAATTCATGCCCAAAGAATGCTTCATAAATTTGCCAGGGAGCTCAAGCAAGCAAGCAAGATATAAGCTACCTTCTTAAAACCAGGAAACTTTGAATGATTGACATCCTCAAATATATTGTACACAGAACTTTTCAAATGCCTGCATTCATTGAAGTAAAAATTAACAAGTAGCAGGTATGATCAGATGAAGTAGATAAAGCAGATAAAATTCATTTACCAAAAAAAACGCAGATAAAATTTTAAAATAACATGACTCAATGATTAAAAATCTCATTTCATTGAGATGCAATGCAGAAAAAGAAAGCTATGCAAAAAACTCATGTCAAGCACAATATAAATAATATTTCTCATATGTGATTCAAATGAAGAAAAGAGACAGGGACTCTCATAATAATTTTTCGTGAAGCAAGACATACACTGACAAAATTCCCTATTTTCAATAATTTGCAAGCGTCAGTTGTTCTGTCTACAAACAATACTCAAAGAGATAGTGATCTGTCACAGACAGGATTCAGAGGACTAGCAGAGGGGACTAGTAACAATAATAAGGCTATCTCACTGTGAAAAGTAGAATTTAAGGGGCAAGCCTCAGAACAGCCTCTCCAAAAAATTGGGGTAAAGATGCCCACATTTGATAACCCTAAACAAATTCTGCCTTCTGTGAAATTTTGCAATAAGGCTACTCTAATTATAAGGAAGACTAAAATGGGTTCATAACTCCCGTTACACGATAAAAGTCCAACAATCTAGTAATTTTCACATATCCTACTTTAACATAACTAGCAAGAATACCTGTCAAATACAAGGTGACGTTGAACAGGAGGTAGAAAAAACCATAATTTTGTCCCACATACATTTGCTGACCAACTATATGACCTGAAAACATCGGCATGCAGAGGAGTCCATGTACCTGGATGAAGAGGAAAAAGCTCAGTAGTTATGAGCCTATGGGCTGGTCAGTAGCATACAATAAACAGGAATATTGTCTTACAAGATAGATGTTACTGCACTGAAGCCCCAACCTTTTGGTCCCATGTACACAAAACGGTAGTCAGAGCAACAAATTTCATTTCTCTCCTGATAGTCAGGATCATCATGCATGCGATACTGGTCAAGGTACAAGTTCAGCCAATCATCATTGAAAAAGAGCGGAGTTTCATATGCCTTGTACTCAGGGTATTCCTACCAACAAGATCACCAAGTTTGAGATTTCAGCCAATATCACTACACATTATGTCTGGAAAACCAAAATGATAATAAAATAAGCAACCATGTTGGACATAAAAGTGAAAAAAAATTGCTTTCAGTTGTGGAACTAAAGTGCACCAACTGTTTATAATGAAAAACCTCACCTAGCAGGTTAGCACAACAATCTTTTTAGACTAATATTAAGAACTAATGTGTCTCTAAGAATGGCAGGTTATCCCCCAATTAAAGCTCTTACAGCAGCATTTAGGAACAATCAGATAGATAATGAAATAAAGAAACGATAAAAGAGCATAAATACCACATATTATTGTCTTTCGTAGATTAAATACCACATTATTGTCATTTGTAGATTTCATTTCACCAACAATCTAGCTAATGGTCATTAGCCTTCTAGAAATTTTATGGGAAAGACTTCAAAACTTATGCTTCATTAAGTACAGCCAGGTGCTCCCTCCATTACCTAGAATGAATGCACCACATTGTGTCACACACTTGAATGACAAGAAAAGTAAATGCACATCATACATAGAAGAGCCTTCCACAACACGTACAAAATAAGCAAAACCTGTAGCAATGAACAACTACCTCCTGCAAAGCCGTATCAACAATTTGTGTGCAAGAATAAGATTTATTAGAAATCTACATTACGAAAATAAGTTTCTCAATATATATGTTAGAATGTCCCCACATGGTACTTCTCATTTAAGAAATATTCTCCTTTCGCCATCCAAAATAGAAATCAGACTAATCGGTAATTTACAAACAAAAAGTCAGAGAACAAAAGAGCCATAAATTAAATGACAGAAAGCATGAAAATTCCAGCTTCTACCTTAACAAAGTGCCAGTCTTTCAAATATAAAAAGGACTTATCACTGCAGCTATCAGGGGAAACATTGTGATGAACCTCCCTGTTATCTCCATTTAGTGCAACCCAGTATTTAATGAACTCTGAAACAGACATTTCTTCTCTTCTTTGATCGGTAAATTCCATGCTATAACAGTCCGCAATCTGCATATCATGCATCACTAGACAATGTAAAATGCCATAAAGTAGTAATTTGATTTTGGCCAATTATAGTACATCATGGCACACACATTCTACATAAGCATGAATACAGGTCAAATCTCCTGATATTAAACTGTAAAGGACAGCATATATTATGGCCTCATGTAGTTTATGGTGATGACCATGAACTCTAATGCGCAGTGAAGTCACGTTTTGCTTAAAGGGGTCTTCAAAAGGAATAACAAAGGCATTGATATGTATTTGAAGTATAAAGTGGGAATGACAATCCTTCAGCTGAAGACTTGAGGTTCAGTCAAATGGTAATGGTTTAAATGGACAATCAAACAGCAACATCAAATAGTCTGTCAACAATTCGAACACATGACTGAAATATTAATAACAATAAAAGCTATCCTTGCAGAGCTTTACTGCATATTAGTAGGAATCATTAGGCAGCCCATATCTTCTATAATTCACATTGTCACATAGCCCTACATGGTACGAGAGAACTAATCAGAACTGCATCTAAACATAGTTCGTACAATCGTACACATCTCTCATCAATCATATTAAAAATTACCTAGCGAGATTACACATAAAGAAATGTAACCACAAACAAAAACATGCACCAAAATTCATAATCAATCATCATGTATCAAAAGCTTAAGACATCTATCATAATCAACCATACACATTTACTGATTTACACCATTTAACTGTTTCACAATCACAAATATCACTCCAATATCCAAAAGGCTCCATTTCGCCTTTCCTCTTTCCCTTCACGATCCGCAAACATTACTTCCTCCGTCTCTAAATAATAAGCCACATTCATATTCCGAGTTGTAGCCGAGATAATAAGCCATATTCTTACAGACTACATAATCAGGGTACAAAAATAGAAATATGATGCCTACATAATTCAATCTTTCCAATACTCAACACAAACAACCACCGTAATTCGCACCATAAAAATCAACCATATTGCACGACATTAATCATAATTACAACATCCGTTAACTAAATTTCAGAAATAATTACTAAAATCAACAGGAGAGGAATATTTGAATAACCTGAACTTGAGAGTCCCCAAATTGATTAGAGAAGGAACCAAGATTAGGTTTTCCATAATCATCAACCCAATCTTCGCAAGCTTTCCAATCATCCATTAAACCAGTCAAAACTACAGGTTGATTTTTGGCGAGGTACCTCTCAACGAAGTCGGTGTAACTGAGTTCCTTGCCATTAACTCGCTCTATTTCTCCTCCAATTTTCAAGCAATTCTTCAGTTCGTTTGCATCCATTTTTCCGCCAGAATCGGTGGTTGACTCGGAAGCTCCGCCGTGACTCGGTGGCGCTGACGATTCCACACTGTGATTGTCCTCGTTGTGTTATGTGCTAATGATTAATGATAAGCCATAAATTTGAGGCATGTTAGGATTATTGGCCCAATCGTAGATTCGTAGAGGCCGAATGCCCGATAATTTGAGTGTCAAATCGGATGTGCGGGTTGGGTTTTGATTGAGTTTTTTTTTTTTTTTTAAAAGTAGCACTCCTTTAAGTCTATTTAGGTTGAATTATTTTGAATTTGACTCACCTGAGTTATTGTATCCATTTTTAATTTAAATTTGTGTTATAGTCTTGAAAGTGTTATTTTTACGGGATAAATGAGAATCGTATTTTGTATTTCAATCAACAGTAAAACTCAAACTCGGGTATAAGGTCCAAGTGTTCAACAGGTGCGTGTTCAAGTGTTCGACTCAACTATTTTATGCAAGGCTTTCATAATTAGTGTAGAATGAAGTGTCCAATGTCTTACTCGTGTTGAATTTCGAGTAGCTGACATGGGTATTGAAAGTGAAATGAAGAGTACAAGTAACATAGTCAACAAATGAATGTGACTGATTTATCATAAAGAAGATGATCAAAATATTTTATGCTTTTTTTATGTTTTCGTACTTTGGAAATTTTACGTAATTCTTAACATATGCAAAAATAGATTGTTCCTGGCAACCAGCTTTTAGCATACACCCGAGTGCACAGTGCACCTAAAAGTATTGATTTCTCATTTAATTGATTATTGTCCATTTAATCATCAAACAAAAAGCAAAAACTAACCTTAGGTTGGTTGGGTCTACCGTACACCGTGCACTTGGGTGTATTAGAGAAATTTCAGTCTTTTAATGCAATGAGATTTTTGAACTGGGTCTCTATATAATCTATATATAATTGGAAACTATAAGGAGTAATACAATATTTACAAAACTGTTTCATGAGTTTAAACAAATGACTAAAATTGCTGAATATCTACAACTTTTGACAGTTTAATGCAACAGCCAATAGTCTTTCTGTTTCAACATATAAGCTGATCGGACGGAGAATTCTAGCCATCCATCAGTCTGACCACGCACCCAACCACACTGCCACACAAGCCACATTCATTCAGCTTTATTTCAACGCGAAACTGTCAGTTACCGGCCTATTGTAGATACAGTCATCTCCTCTTGCACGCTTGAATCCATTGCACTGGAAGATGAGGCATTCTCTGATAATGGTTTCCGATTCATGAAAGCTGGTTGTTTGGCAAGTGGAAGAGAGGCATTTTCCCCACTCAGCATATGAACTGCGGTTGACATGGTGGGACGATCACTTGGGTCCTCTTGTACGCATAATAACCCAATATGAATGCACTTCAGAACTTCTGACGGAAAGCAGGATTCGTTGAGTTTTGAGTCCATCAATTCTAGTCCTCTATCTTCATTCCATAATTTCCAGGCCTAGATAGTAGATAACATTAAGTTAGTCCAGAATCATGATTGAATAAATCAGTCATTTTATTTTTGAAGGTACTTACATGTCCTAGCAGGCTAAGGCCGTGCTGAAACATAAAAATTTTCGAATTCCTTCTACCACTTATTGTCTCCAATATAACCACGCCAAAACTGAAAACATCAGATTTTACTGAAAAGATCCCTTCATATGAATACTCTGGTGACATGTAACCACTGCATCACAGTTTAAAATAAGGCAATTAGCACACTACTCATGAATTGTGACTATCTGATGCGGTTTGGTATTAGTTTACTCTACTGAATACTCTGACTTACTATGTTCCAACTACTCTATTTGTGCTTGCTTCTGTTTCCTTCCCACCAACAATCCTTGCTATGCCAAAGTCTGATATTTTTGGATTAAGTTCTTCATCAAGTAAAATGTTGCTTGGTTTGAGATCTCGATGAATAATTCTTAGTCTTGAGTCTTGGTGAAGATAAAGCAAGCCCCGAGCAATCCCCAAAATGATGTCAAAACGCTTCTTCCAGTCCAAGTATACAATATGCCTTTCATCTTCTCGCAAAATATCACAAAAATGACAGTAGTGTTACTCGAAGATAAAGTAATTAATCTTATGCATAGATAGGTACCAACTTGGTAATTAACTGACCAAATAAACAAGAGTCTAGGCTTCCATTAGGCATGTACTCATAGACTAATATCTTCTCGTCTGCTTTCATGCAGTACCCAATAAGTCTTACAAGGTTCCGATGCTGGAGTTTGGCTATCAACTTAACCTCAGTCCTAAATTCTTCAACACCTTGCACCGATACAGTTGAGAGTCTCTTGACAGCGATTTTCTGCCCATCTGGAAGTATTCCCTGAATGCATTGTCCCACATAATGATAGGTTATCAAACTTGCAAACATAATATTCTCTAAAGTCTTAATAGATTCTAAAATTATTACCATGTACACAGAACCGAAACCCCCTGTCCCAAGCCTATTTGCATCCGCAAAGTTGTTTGTAGCAGCTATTATGTTTTCCCAATCGAAAAATGGCACATCTATGCCTGCAGTATCATCTTCGTTGAATTCAAGTGAACCTGTCAAATCGCTGGACTTACTCAGTGTAAACAGATACCACCTGTAATTCCTGATTTCCTTGTTTACAGGAAGGGTGTGCAGAGATGCTAAAAGCAAATTTATCATTGAAACCCATATCTAATGTACTTCCTATGTTAAGAAATAGTTGCAATGTTTTGACTTTTACCTTATTCACACACTCTACGTTGACTACCTTTGATAACTTTTGATAGAGAAAAAACGGTCATCATCTAGGATACTCTTCGATTCATTCAACATATACTTTTAAAATATCAACTATTTATAATTTTTACTTGATGATAATTTGATATATTAATGGTTGAAGTTATACAGTGACAAGAGTGAAAATAAAAATAATGCAGCTATTTCTAAACGAAGGAAGTATTATCTTTCTTTGCAGCACAACTGATATGTTATATTAAATACCTAGTAGTATGCAGCATGCAAAAATAGATTTATAAGAATTACCTCGCTTTTTACTTATTCTTCTTTTCCTGGCATGACAAACAAAGAATATACTGCACAAAAGAACAATTGCCAATGCACCAGCTATGCAAAGAGCTGCAACCTTGAGAGGAAAAGGTTCTTTTATGGGACAGAAAGCAAACATAGTTAAGATTTCATAAACAACACTACAACAGTAATGAAAGATTATAGGCTCAAAATTGAATATTAACAACATAAAGATAATTACATAATTTTTCAGAGCTACAGCAGTATCCACTCTTAAGTAATTAGATATTAGTGAAAAACACGTACTGATAGACAATTGCCAGCAGAAATGAGTAACTGAGCAGGACAAAGCATCTCACCTTTGGTACATTCCAACTTCAAGCCATCCCAATGGAACTTTGATCCACAGAGGCACCTCTTTTCCACCCCATTCGTGGATTTGCAGCTAGTATGATGGAATTGGTTACAATCTGAGGGTGCATGACAAAGAAATTCTGGTGGTTGGTTCCAACTCATCTCAACTTCAATAAAAGGCTGTTTAACTTGAATTAAAGGTTGGTCCTTAACAACATTGCAGTTTTGAAAAGTGTATGGCAAAGAGTCCTTGAGAGACTTAAACAGCTCGATATATTTATCGTCACAATTACTATGCATGACTTGGATTGTAAGGATTTTTGCATCCGGATCAATTGAAGTGACATTGAAGTTGCCTCTTGGAGTAGAGAATATAACTTGACCGGTTGTACTGTTGCAATGAAAATGGAAGTATGAGGGATCCCCACAATTTCTCCCTGTGCTTAAGGGATAGGGAATACTATAGGTTCCACAAGGACTGCATCCCCGTGAAGTTGGGTCTGCCACAGGACAATAGAACTCATGTCAGCGAGGTTTAACAACATTGCATGACAGCATTAACTTTCCTAATTTACTATTGTATGATCAGATTGAGTTCAGGGTTGGATTAATTTTACAGTCAACATAACTTGTTCTTTCATACCTTGTATTTACACAATTGAATATGAATATATAATGGGAGAATATCCTTAATCCCTAAGGCCTAAGCCCATTCTATATAATTCCGTGGTCACAAAAGGATTTGTTGCAACCTGTTATTTTATTGCTCATTCACTCTGGCCATGTTCTTGAGGACTAACTACAGATCTAAGCCAATTGTCTGTACTTTTAAATTACAGTGAGCCTATGGAAGCTGTTTTTCCTCGTGATCTATGTTGTTTGAATCTTATTGCTGAGACAATTGTCTACGAACATTTGTGAGTCAATGGTGATGGTATGGAGGGAGGAGGGAAGAGGGAGTAATTTAAATAGCAGTAGGAAAGAAGATACCTATATCAGACGGTGTTGTGCGGACAAAGAGAGTAATTCCATCAGGATACTCCTCTTGCAAGTCAGTCAATTCAGTCCATAGCAAGCATTTCTTCTTACCAAAAGTGCGTGCTCCTGAGCAGTCAGCAAAATCATTAGAGTAAGCAACACAATAACATTGAGTAAGACACTGGGTACGGCAATTTTCTTCAGTAGAACTAGAACTAGAACAAGTTTTGTTTCCCATTCTCATCATGGTAAATTTCAAGAAAATGTCACTCGTACTACTATTGTCCCTTTCACAAATAGATCCAGATCTTGGAGAACACCCCGCAGAAGTGTCTCCCAAATTCCACTTTCCACTAGGATTGAATCCTGGCAAGCACTTGCAAATCTTCCCGTTGTTACTATTGCAACTGCCAAAATTACCGCATTTATCATACAAACTACAACCATCTCTTGGCTCAGACCAATTTAAGGACCAGCCTTCACTTTTGTTTATCCAAAATTGAATCTGTCCCGTGAAGTTTATCACTAGGCGTGTGTTTTCCTGAAGTGGGGAAGTGCCATCAAACCATAATTTAGACAAAGCAGTTGGAATCTTGTCAAAAGGGGTTGTTCCACTCTGCCAATAATTAGGATGTCCTTTTTCATTATTTTCAACAGACAAAGCATTAGCCAAGCTAGGTTGTAGGGGGAATGTGAAGTTTCCTTGAGCTGGGTTGTTGTGATTTTGCCAAGATATCAGTTTTAAGGTTGTCGATGAAAGATCTATACTTCTATCCATCCCCGGAAGAAATGTGTCAGTTGGGTGATCAAAGCTTTGCCACGAGTTTTGCTTTTCCTGTGACAAACTTCTATCCTTCAAAACTAAGTTTCCACTATCAAACAGACAGAGTGTTGTAGACGTTGAATTTACAGGTCTCGGGGTCTGTACATGGGCAGATGGAACACCATTGGTTGACCAGTACAGCAGACCATTCCCATCCAATAGCTCGGCTTTACCTTGTTGAATTACAAGGGAGCCCTTGGATTCCAACAGCGGCTTATCTCTATTAGCAACCCACACAATGACCTTTGGATTGGAGTGACTACAATACCATATACCCAAATACCTTGTATTACCGTTGTTCCCATCAGGACTGAAGAATCCGAGCTCGAACACTCCACCAGGGGATACTATAGTATTGTTGCTAGTATCAATGACCTTGGAACCTTCTTCTAAGCAGTCACTAGCACTGCATTGTAGTATAGGAGTGAAAAACAAA